CAATGATACATTACTTTAAACAGTTCTAGTGTTGACATTAATTTAGAGAAAAAAATAGGGACTTCAGAATTTTGAGAGAGCCTTCATTCAATCATGCTTTACAAAATTTTGTAAAGCTACTCTTCTTTAGCTGTCAATTGAAACAAAAAAATAAGCTCACTCATAATCCATTTTCAGTCATTCATGGATTAATGGGAGAGCTTGTGGGGTGGTTTGTTATGTCATCTTTGCTTTTCTTTATTCTCTTTTTAGCTTCCTGCCACTGAATCTTTGTATTATTCTTCAGAACCCACACTACTGCCTGACCAGGGGAAATAAAGAGCTCTGAAACACAAGTATTTCTTTTACTATTTTTTTTTTTTTAGCAGTTCTCCAAAAAGTGTTGTCGTAGGAAGAGGAGGTCAAAGCAATTAACTTAAAAGGAATTTGTTTATATTTATTAGTTTCAAATATCCATTTACCATGAAGGTGGATCTGTTTAACTTTATACACAAAAAAGGGACTGGAAATGCTACTTCAATAAAGTTGAGTTTGTTTAAAATCTCTAAGAAACTTATATATTGTCCACTTCTACAAAGGAACAAAACTTTTTAAAATTAGATAACTGCTCTTCCTCCAAAAAGCCTTCATATTTCACAATCTTAAAATACATTTCCACAGCAGGTACTTTGTCATGATGAGTGCATTGGAGCATGCTCCTTGGAAGATAAACAGTGGAAGATAAACAAAATGTTGGGCTTCGGTTACAGCACAGTCTTCCAAAAGAAATAAAGTGACTAGTTAATCCTTAGAGTACTGGAATTTGCTGTACTGTTAGCCAAACGAGTGTGTACATATGTTCAAATCTTGAATCTCTGGTCTGAGGAAAGAGCAGAAGGAAGATAAATGAACGACCACTGACTGACCTTATCCAGAGGGTGTTAAGCGTTGTAGGGACCATTCCTATTCTTGAATGTGTGTGTCGTGGGAGATGGGAGTGAGGTAGGGAAGAAAACAGATAACGTTAGCATCACCTTTTTTTTTGACAGTTGAAGCTAAGCAGACAGTCTCTAAAAGTCTTTTTGCTGACAATTTCTAAAGCTTCCATGTTAAAAATCACTCTGGGTACCTCTGCCTTGGGTGAGGTTTCAGGCTGATTCTGAAGATTTTTTTTGCTGATGGTGATGCCATCTTTTTAGTTTGAAGATTCAACTAAGCTTTACTACAATTCACTTGGTCTATTTGTCTCTCTACTATGTACAAGCAGCTGTGTGTGTATTTTTTTTTTAAAGCCATCTCTCAGGATATTGGAAAACACCTAGTTCACAAACAAATACATAAAACTGACATTAAATTTCCAATGCAGCATCTGAGGAGAGTGCAAATAAGTACTGTTCTGGGCACAGAAGAATCTAGCTCCCTGAACTCATTCTTGATGATCAGACTTTAATTGAATCAACATCACCATGTCCCCCAGTCGCTCATGTCTACAGCAGCCACATTGTCGGCTGCAATGGAACTAGGAAAAAACTCTCTGCACTGATTTGCATAGAAAAATAGGAGCTGAAAGAAGGGAACCAAGAAGTGTAGGTGCAGTTTTCAAGAGACTCATCAATGCTCTTTAGTTCCCAGAATAACTGTTTCCTACTCTTGGCAAGTCAACCTTTGGGGCAATGTGTGATTTCTCTTTCTGGGCCAATAAATAGTGAAGGTCAATTCTATTATGTGGGATGGAGTCAGGAATAAAGGAGAAGAAAAATGGCTTTCCGTATTAGTACTAGTTGGGGGAATTTTACCTTTTCTTTTTAATCTACATACTTGCCTCTGAATAACAATGCTATTTCAAATATTTAATTCAAGACACACGTTGGTGTCAAGTTGCAGTAAAGTACCGCTTTTGATTTTTCAGGCCCTTAGGAGTGTTATACATTTTTCCTAAAATTTCCCTTGAGATCTGAGCATGTTTCTATTCCTTTTTCATGCCCTTCCATTTATTTCTTACTACTAGTTCTGGAGTTTGATTTGTGGATCAAGTTAATTCACACTGAGTCAATAGAGATACGCATTTTGAAAACTTACCTTTGAGCAGCCATTTTACGATGTCATTTTTCCTGTACCAACTGACATCCTCTAAAGGAGAGTTATGTTCCTTTAACTTCACAAAACACAGTTTGATATTTCAGAAAAATGTATGTTTGACAAATCAAAAGTAACACGAGGCAGAAACATCCTTTGTGAGAACTAAAAGGAGGGACAATAAAGCACAGTTCTTAGTTTCAGAAGACCTTATGTGTATAATTAAAGTCAGATTTCCGAATCATGTAAATGGCTGTGCTGAAATTATATCAACACATGTAGGTAAAAAAGAGAACAACAACAAAAAGTTACATCACAATGTAGTAATTATTTCTTTACTGCCTAAAAGTGCCGTGATAAGACTTTTAAAGGACCTATTCTAAATCACAACAAATCAGAAATAGTTCACTGTTCAATCAACAAATAATTTTTAATGTTTATCATTTGCCAGTCAAACTGCTAGGTCTGCTGCTTTTATAAAATACTTTTTTCTTCTTGTCTATCAAAATGAAGAATTTAAGTTTCAGTGTCTTCAAAATGACATGTAAATAATTGTCTTTTAATTTAGTATATATTTAATAATCATTGTAAGTACTTATATATAATTATTTATATAATTTTTTTTTTTTTTTGAGACAGAGTCTTGCTCTGTTGCCCAGGCTGGAGTGCAGTGGCACAATCTCGGCTCACTACAACCTCTGCCTCCTGGGTTGAAGCAATTCTTCTGCCTCAGCCTCCCGAGTAGCTGGGACTACAGGCATGCACCACCACGCCCGGCTAATTTTAGTGTTTTTAGTAGAGACCAGGTTTCACTATGTTAGCCAGGCTGATCTCAAACTCCTGACCTCCAGCAACCCGTCTGCCTCTGCCCTCTAAAGTGCTGGGATTACAGGTGTGAGCCACTGAGCCCAACCACTTATAAATATTAATTACAGAACATGATTCCTAAAAATCTTAGTTTGAGTATTTCAGATCAATAAGAAGCAGTCAGCAATTGATGACTACTCTAAAACATTCTGGATAAGAAATCAAATCTCCCAGCCTGGGCAATATAACAAGACCCCATCTCTACAAAAAATTAACCGGGTGTGGTGGCACATGCCTGTAGTATCAGCTGCTTGGGAGACTGAGGTGGGAGGATTGCTTAAGCCTAGGAGTTTGAGGTAACAGTGAGCTATGATCAGCCTGGGTGACAGAGTGTATCAAAAAGACCATGTATCAAAAAGAAAAAAAAAGGAAAAATGAAAAAGAAAGAAAAGAAAATCTCTTAGAATTGCATTTTAACAACAACATAACGAGGTATATAGTTAAAATTAACAAGACTTGGTCTATATTATCTCTCTTCTCCTACATGCATCTTTAAGTAAGGGCTACCCTCATGCCTTGGTACCAGCTGAATGATGAAGGTGTACAACTCACACTCTAATTCCATACCCAGTAATCCCAGGACTTTCTGCATGCTCCCATTCCAGTCCACTTCTACCTATTATTTGCCCCTTGGTTTATATTCTCATTGCCAGCTCTGATCCAGGCTTTGGTTCTGCTGTTCATACTTGGTTTCTACAACCATGACTTTTCATGCTTTTTAAGACCAACGATTTGGACCTTCCATTTCCTTTCTGAGTTTTGGCTCCTTCTTGCGGAATTCCTAACCTGGTTTTAACATGTCAGGCTCTAGTCCCCAAGCTTTGTGATATCTGGCCAGTGCCCTGGGTGACCCCATTCAGGTTATAGTGCAGGTTGTATTTTATATATTTAAAATGGTGAATGAAATAAGATTCATATTAGTCATGGTATGTGCATTTTTATCTTCAAATGAGAAATCACTTTTCTTATATATTTGTTTAAAACCTATGTTTATTGTTCTGGTAAAATGCTCTATTTATTTATCAGCAAAATGCTAATAAGAGTTATTTGAGATATGAATATAGTTTTGGGGTGTTTTCTACATTTTGACCAATTCAAAAGAATATACTGAAGTCCATAACTATATTTGGTTAAATCATAAATGGTAATGTATATGAAAGCATTTTAAACAGTATAATTGTTCTGCACATGTTTGTGGTTATGTTATTAGGCATAGCTGGTAGTCTCAAGAATAGGCAATGCCTTTGCTTAACATTAAATCTATAGCTAAGTCAGATTTATGTAGAAAGTGGTTTTTCACTACATAAAATTTTATATATTGATATCTCAATTAGGAAATAATTTTATGAATACTTTTACAAAGAATAGTATCAAAATGAGTGATAAAAATGAATATTACTTTCAAACATGCTTACCTTACTTTTTAATTTAATTTTATTTTATTTTTGAGATGAAGTCTCTCTCTTGTTGCCCAGGCTGGAGTGCAATGGTAAGCTCTTGGCTCACTGCAACCTCCGCCTCCTGGGTTCAAGCAATTCTCCTGCCTCAGCCCCCCAAGTAGCTGGGATTACAGGGGCCTGCCACCACCGTCAGCTGATTTTTGTATTTTTAGTAGAGATGGGGTTTTGCCATGTTTGCCAGGCTGGTCTCAAACTCCTGACCTCAGGTGATCCACCCGCCTTGGTCTCCCAAAGTGCTGGGATTACAGGCATCAGCCACCAGAGATCACTTGGACTCGGGAAGGGGAACATCACACACTGGGGCCTATTATGGGGAGGGGGGAGGGGGAGGGATTGCACTGGGAATTATACTTGATGTAAATGATGAGCTGATGGGTGCTGACGAGTTGATGGGTGCAGCACACCAACGTGACACAAGTATACATATGTAACAAACCTGCATGTTATGCACATGTACCCTAGAACTTAAAGTATAATAATAATTTAAAAAAAAGAAAAGAAAAAAAAAGCAAAAGTGAGGCACAGATGAGATGAGGGGTGCTTATATGAAATCTCTTATGTGAATTTGTTTTAAGGTGACTTATTTGAAACTCTGACTCTCTTCTTTTGACCCCTCAGCCTGAACAATCCATCAGCAACCCATGAGCCAGCAGAACAAAAGATGACAGAACTGGGGCTGGCAGAGCAAGGTATGAAGACAAGTGTGACTTTTATCACCTTTGACATAACCTGATATGAATCATATTTGTGTCCCTCTGGTTCCGAATTTTATTACCAATGGAAAAACAACAACAAAAAAATGACATCAAGTTTAAAATTTAGGAACATCCCAGCTTCTTTGCGTGACATAGAATCACAGAAGTTTAGAGCTAAAATGAACTTTGTTTATCCGTTGAGTCCCACGTCCTCGGCTGCCTTAGAAAGAAAAAAGATAAGCATAATTCTTTCTGACATATGCCAAGTGAAGTACAACTTTAGGCTTTTTATATACACATTCTCTATGCATATATTTTACAATCTTTCAAATTCTTACAATAACCATCAATTTAGGAATCATTATCCCCAACTTATAGTTGAAAACTCTGACATTCAGAGGATTTAGGAAGATTTTAAGATTTTTAAGGGCAGAAGAAGCAGATATTTTTAAAAATTACCCTGATTGTGCCAGATAAAACATTTTCAGGGTATAAATGTAGATATCAGAAAATTAGCTGTGGCTTATTGCATTAGTCTCAGCAAGTCATGATGTCAGCCTGGATTAGAGTCAGTCGAGATGAAGAGAAAGAAATAAAATCAGTAGAAATCTACAGTATAGAACTGATGGGACTTGGTTATAGATTTGTTGTCGGAGGAGAGGAGAAAGAGATGAAAGAGCCAAATTTGACAACCAGTGTTTGACTTGAAGAACTGGCTGAATGGTGGAGTCATTTGCAAAGATGAAAAATCCTAACAAGAGGATTTGGGAAGTGGAAATGAGGCAGGGAGCAAAGGATGGGGAAGGAGATTGTGAACTGCTGCCATGATACAGGGAGTTTTTCAAATAGGTTTCTTTTTTTTTTTGGATTGTAGATCTGAGAATACATATTCTATCAAATGCCCACTCAACCCCTTTTTTCTTCCCTTATCCATGTGGCAATCCCAAGGGTTCTTGAGCCTTGAGTTTGAAAATGAAGATGCTAACTGCATTTTCTGGATAACTATAGAGGTTGACATTTATCAACTCACTTGATCTAAGACCATGTTGTAAGGAACAAGGCTTTGCTGCAGCCAGGCAGGCATAGGCAGAGGTAAACATCCTGCATGACTCAGCAGGATTGGAGTGCAGGTGCACATTTCCATGCTTTATATAATCACAGCTATGTAGACATAGCATAGAGAAGCTCATCACCTGGTTCTCAGCCACTATGGTTTGTAAGGTGTATAAAATGTAACACTGACACTGTGAAGGACCTGCTGAATAAAGTCAGGTCTCATCTACCTGCTGTCTCTCGACTGTTCTTCTAGCTCACTGCACTGCATCCACCTACTCCCCTCAGACCTCAGCTGGGGCCTGAACCTGCCACATGTGATCCCCTTGGACTTAGCTAGATTTTGGTAGATTGAAAGAAAGGGTATTATTTTATTTATTTATTTATTTATTTATTTATTTTTGAGACAGAGTCTTGCTCTGTTGCCCAGGCTGGAATGCAGTGGCACTATCTTGGCTCACTGCAAGCTCCACCCCCTGGGTTCACTCCATTCTCCTGCCTCAGCCTCCCTAGCAGCTGGGACTACAGGTGCCTGCCACCACGTCAGGCTAATTTTATTTATTTATTTATTTATTTTTTTATTTTTAGTAGAGACGGGGTTTCACAGTGTTCGCCAGGATGGTCTCGATCCTGACCTCGTGATCCGCCCGCCTTGGCCTCCCAAAATGCTGGGATTACAGGCATGAGCCACCATGCCCAGCTGAAAGGGTATTATTTTAGAAGAATGATGTGTAGTAAGGATATCACCTCAATTTAAACTGGGATTTTAAATTTTGGTGTGTGTTTGCTTAAAAGGTGCATCTAAAAGTTCAAAGAGGTGATTTGAGTGAAATAATTTACATAGTAGGAAAGTGTCTTCAAATAAAAGGGTGTGTGGGGGTAGAGATGTAAAAGGATATAAATGGACAAGAGGCTGTCTCTTTTACTGATGGGTCTTATGGTCTCGGTCTGAACCTAGATGGAGGCAGGGGCTGCAGGAGGACACTGAAGATTCCTTTTTCCCAGGCACAGAGGCACCTATCATGTGGCTAAGGGGCCCAAGTGATGAAGCAGGATACAGGTTAGGGAAGAGCACCATTTTCACTGTATCTGGGGATAACACAGCCTGGTTCTGAAATGATAAATGTTGTTTCAGCTTGAGGGTTTGCACTTTAGGTTTGCACCAGGATAGGTGTTGGTACTATGAACAGGGAGCTAATGTTAAGAATCACTCTCAAGTGTCTCTGCTAGCCCTCCACAAGAGATGCCAGGCAGAAAGATCTGGGAGGAGTGCTTGCCAACTCTGTTCTATGTATTTGGGGACTACAGAAATATATAAATGAGACTCTGCAATTATACATAGGGTCATGAGATTGAGCTATGCGGTATTGTGGTTCTGTTTGTAAGCACAGGGTGGTGAGGCCTGGGGTAAATGGGGATCACACTAAAAAAGTAGTATGTTTCAGAACAACTGATGAAACGGATTTTAAAATGACCCATGCCCATGCCCCATCTCCAGAGATTCTGATTTAGAAAGCCTAGGGTGGCATCGTGGCAGCTGTGTGGTGCCAGAGCTCCATGAGTAGTTCCAATGCTTCTGCTTGGTTAAAAACCACTGCATTTAATTTACCAGAGTTGAGTCAGAGGTGGAAATGGCTAGCAAAGAAGAAGAAATTTAGATTTTTGGAGGTATTTCCCTTTTCGACTTTGTTTTATATTCTTGTCTCCTTCTCCCTAGCTTTCCACATTCCTATTAAAATAGCTTCCTTTCCCTACTGTTGGTTTTCTTAATTCCTCACTGAAACTTTCTCCGAAGGAGAATTACAGGAAGATTCAGCCAACCTTAGACTCTTCATACTTGGACTCAGTTGAAAAGAAAAATTAACAATGCAAACATCCTTTTTTCTTTCATAGAAGAAAATGGCTCACAATCTTGTTTTGTTTGATCAGCTCAATGCTAAATAATTGTGTGAATATTTTTCTTGAAACATCCCCTCTCTTCCACTACTATTTCCACAGCTCACTCTACTGTTATTTTTTGCTTAAAAGTTATCAATGGAATTTAGACATCAAAGCACCTTCAGCTTTATTTCTCCAGTCTGGCTCCACAGGCTGCAAAAATAATTCTCCAGAGTTGTAAGCCACAAAAATGACCCCTCACCAAACACACCTTAGTCCATTCCTATGTAAACTAGGGAAGTATGTCATTCTTTTGGAGAATCTATATCTAGAGTATTAAAAATAAGCTGGGTTAGTGAGTTAATTCTCGTTCAATGATTCTTTTATTTTCCAATGTTATTCGCCATTTTCAATCCAATGGCATTCTTGCTTTCTTGAAATAAAGCTGAACTACAATAACTGTAACAATTTTTTTAGTGCAACATTTCAAAAGTCCATTCTATTAACTGAGACAACAGAGGCCAAATTCACATCAGTAATTAAACATATCTTTCTCCATTTACTCTCAGGAATGAAAAAGAACAGATCAGTGTTCAGTTTGAAAGAGCCATAATTCAGCGGTCTTTCTATATTACCTCTCAGAGGAAGTAGCCTGCGTGTCTAAAGAGAGAAGGGAAGTTTAAGTACTGGAAAAAAGGAAAGTCTTCAGCCTTGGGAATGTAATAACCTGGGGTCAGCTGAGAACCCTGAGGAAGACTGACCCAATCAGCTGCTGGGAGAAGCAACATAACTGCTCTGCTGGAGGGAGAAACAAATTCTAATCAGATGTGAGTCAGCCATCCAGGGAGCTTCTGTTATCATGAGAAAAGGAAGTGCTCTTCCTTTCAACTGGAAAACTAGAATGTGCCACTTTTTTTAATTGTTAATGCTCCTTCTTTTCTTTTTTATTAGTTTTGTAATAAAAATTTAACTTAAAAGTTGATATGCAAACAAGAAGTGTGTAACAATCTGAATATTTAACATTGATAGATTTATCTATTTTAAAAAATTAAAGAGAATATATTAGAATTTAATGTTTACTGCACACAAGATGAAACAGAAACTAAACTTCGTTACATTTTTTAAAAATTCTTTAACTTATTCAGTTTGGATTTATTATTTGTAAAGTGAAAAGAAATTCTTTTTCTCCAAAATGTTTGTCCTTTACTAACTTTAGAAAATTGGTTTCACTATTCCAAGTTTCAGCTTTTTATTCAGAAATTAAGAAATATGTCAGTATGTGTCTATTATTACTATAGGTCGCTTTTCGGCCTTTTGGCTAAGATCCAGTGTATTGTTATTATAGAATGGGTTCTCAGATAAAGAAAAAGACTAAGAATTTTCTCAGGTTTTTGGGACTATTTCATTATAAAAACAAAAACTATATATGATTAAATTGATATTACCTTTTTGATGGACTCACTTGAAAAGAGTGACAAGATGCAATTTGAGGAGTTTTATGGGCCAATGTTAAGGCTAGGCATACATTTTCTATTTTGAAATCTCTGGTATCTTTGTGGTACCCAGAATATGTAGTGAGGTAAATAGATATCACCTTAAGAAACAGAAAAAAGAAAGAATAAAAAGAAACACCTTCTATTTCTCAATGCTTATTAACTAAAAATGCAAAATTTATTCACATTTTTCAATGGGGGGTCATATGGTTTGACACATCAAATAACACATAATAGTGGTAACACCAAAGGGAGGCTTGAGGACCTCTTTTAGTGCCCTGCCTCTTCCTACAGCCACTCCACAAGATTTCATAATATTTTTCCATCTAGACAATTGACATTTTCTCAGTTATATAGAAATTATCTTTTGAGACATTTCTATTTTCATTAATCTGTGAGTCGTGGTCTAATTAAAAACAAGTTAGACACATTCCTGAACTTTCCCGCCCTCTACTTTCTTCTGCCACTACATTTCTCCATGTGAACATGAGATTCCAGCAAATACTTCAATGAATAAGGAAACATAAATTTGAGTGTTTATTGTCTTCGAAGAAAGCAAAAAGAATAGTGCCAGTGTATTATAAACACTCATACTTTCATGCAAACAAACTCCTTACTGAAGGAAAAGGGACAAAGATCATTTCTGGAGAACAGAAAGACTCAAATTAAATAATTTTATTGTCCATGTTCCACAGTTGATTGCGATGAAGTCATATCATTATAACTAAGCTTTTATTCTATCATTTTTATGTGTGCTTCATAGAAAAGCTATATGAGAAAATACGGAAATGAGGGGGATTGTCTGTCGATTATTATTATTTTTTAAAAATTCTCAAATTGGCGGCTGGGTGTCGTGGCTCACGCCTGTAATCCCAGCACTTTGGGAGGCCGAGGTCGGCGGATCACCTGAGGTCGGAAGTTCGAGACCAGCCTGATCAACATGGAGAAACCCCGTCTCTATCAAAAATACAAAATTAACCAAGCATGGTGGTACATATCTGTAATCCCAGCTATTCGGGAGGCTGAGGCAGGAGAATCGCTTGAACCCAAGAGGTGAAGGTTGCGGTGAGCCAGGATTGCACCATTTCAGTTTAGCCTAGGCAACAAGAGTGAAACTCCATCTCAAAAAAAAAAAAAATTCTTGAATTGGCTTGGGTTTTGAGAGTTTCTATCTACTACTGACTTCCACACATCTAAACCTCACACATGCAGCCTGGTCAACATAGTAAGACCCCGTCTCTACAAAAATAATTTTTTTTTTTTAATTAGCCGGGGGTGGTGATGCACACCTATAATCCTAGCTACTTGGGAGGCTGAGGCAGGAGGATTGCTTCAGCCCAGAGAATTATAATTGCACCACTGCACTATAGTCTACGATCACACCACTATCACCCAGCTTGGTGATAGAGCAAAACTCTGTCTCTGAGAAATAAAATAAATAAATGAATCAATAAACAAACAAACCTCACACATATCGGGACTGGAGGAAAAGCAGAGCAAATTTTTTGATTTCAGAGACTGGTAGATAGGAGTAATCAAGCAGATATTACCTAATGAAATACTTATTCTGTTTAAAATTTTCTTTTACAGTTATTTGACAAGAAATCTTAAGAGTCCTCACTTGCTGGGAGCTCAGAGAAAGGTAAGAGCCTTAGCTGAATTTCAGTCTTTCAATTGTGTCCTTATTGTGGGTAATAAGGACACAATTGAGGTTGAAATGCCCGTCTGAGATATCCCTTGAGATACAGCTTTAATTTCTGTTTCATCAAAAACATATGAAAAAGTCACAATGTGCAAAACATTGTAGTTTGGGGATGGATAGAAAGAGGAATTAGACATGGCTTCTGGTTTAAAAGGAGATTTTAATCTGGCGAGGAGATTGGAGAGAGTACACAATGAGATTTAGGGAGTGAATGAAACAGAAGTTGTGGGGAAAATGCTGAAGGTTGTCTAAGTAGCCAAGGCTGCAGCTTGTGGTTCTGATAGGCGAAATGTTATTGTTGGGGATGTCTTTTAATCCCTCTCTTTGCTGAGTGACCTGGGAGCTACACTGCCTAGGTCTGACGGGGAGACTTGTAAATAAATCCCCACCTGAATTGGGAATCAATAGCACCCATTTGTCTGCACAAATATCAAGTACTTTTACAGCATCTGTAGTCTCAGTGGTTCTTAAACCTTGGAACAGTGTGTATCTTTTAGAAAATGTGAACAAACTAAGATCTTTTCTCATAGAAGGGGACAAAAAAACACACAAACAATTTCAAGGACTTCTTCCTAATGTCCTTAGGCAAATCATCTAATCTCTCTGTGTCTCAGTTTCTCAATCTGTAAAATCAGAGTGATAATACCTGCTTTAGTAAGTAGTGGGGAGAATTAAATGAGAGAATTATGGAAAGTATCTAGCACAGATCCCAGGGCAAATTTGCGATAAATGACAGTCATTATTATATTCTTTCTTCCTTTTTACTATGAGACTGTGCTGTTTCCTGGGCTGTCACCGTTCCTATCACAGAGACAAGGCTGGGGAGTCAGATAAGGGATTGGTCACCAAGGAAGGCAAATGAAATAAAGGTGATAGATGAACTTCATGCCCAGCCAAAAATATGATAGAATTAGGAAATCTGAAAACTTTTACAGAAAGTTATCTGGGGAAATGACTAGGAGAATATGTAAAATAACTACAAAGATGCTGTTTTAATTGTAGCTATTTTATGGGTTTAACATAATACTAATGCTAATGGTATTAATTTCCAAATCAATGGCAAATGCACACTTACAGAGAGTTTATTATATGCCAGGCATTGTACTTAGCTTGGCTTACGTAGGTCACCTTCTTTAATTCTCATAATATAAAATAATACAGCCCAAAACACCCCATCTGAAATTCTGAAATAAAAAGCCTCTGAAAACTAACATTTTGCAATGATTGATTCAGTAGCAAAACCTGAACAGAACTGCCAGAGGGTGTTTTTAGTCTTTATTTTTCTCACTTAGAGTGAATATTCGTGCATTTTGAGGCAGCCATCTTAATGTTTGGTCATGGTGTTTTCTGTGACCTCACTGGGGTAACACTCCATAATTCCATGTGGACTCTATCCCATGTGTAACATGTGAAGGAGTCCCAATTCCAAAATTCACCTTGCCGTCAGGATTTCTGATAAGCTAGGGTGCCAGGATTTCTGATAAGGTAGGGTGGGCCTTTAAAAACAGTAACATTTATTGATCACTTGCTGTGTACTAGGCTTTGGTTCAAGTCTTATGTTTATTTATTTTATCCCCATAATAGTCTTCAGAGGAAAATATACTTATCATCTTTCCGGCTTTACAGTTGAGGCAACTGAGGTACAGAGAGGTCAGGGAACCCAGGGTTACAAGACAGTAACTCAGAAACATAAAATTTGAACCCAGTCCATTGGGATCTGGGAAGCTTTTGCTGAAATACTATACAGACTACCTCATTTATATTATTGAAATTGTTATCCTTACTTTATAGCTGAGAATTCTGAGGATTAAAGATTCACTAATTTAACCAAGATAAAGTGTCTGTGTGATCTTGAGCAAGTTACTTAATCTCTCTGGGCCTCAGCTTTCCATTCTGTAAAATGAAGGTAATGATAATCTATACTGCATTGCTGTGGGGATTAAATGAGTTTAAAACAATGAGAGCAGTGCCTGACATGCCTCACGTAATCTATGCATCTTAGATCTTACTATTTTTTACAACTAGGCTATGTGGATGCTAGGAGAAAAGAGAAGGATATGATGGAAGTCAATCCTCATGCAAAGATTTACTATAGAAAAGGTAAAAAAATAATATTTTTCAGGTATTAAGTCAGTGTTTTCTTTATTTTTTGTTCCTTAGTCCTTAGGTGTGTAGTGGCTGCCTGATTTGTTGAATCAGTCAATCACCTGGTGAATGGCATGTATTGATTCAGGGTAAGGGCAGATACAGAACAAACAGGTCTTTTATTCTTCTCTGAGTCCCCAGGCTGACATTTTTTTAATCGATTGCAAGACTCTAGTCATAAAGCCACTCTTTGTTAAAGAACAAAAGTGTTTTATAAATCTCCCATATTTCCCTTTACATTCAAAAGTGTGGGCTTGGTCCTTTCAAGTCTTAGAGTATTGTATTTACATGACGCTAAAGCATAAAGAGAACAGAGACTATATTGCAGGGGAAGTTTCTTTATGACAAGAAAGGAGAATTCCCTTTCACTAAGGGAAGTAGAATTTAGAAACTGGAGAAAAAGAATGGGAGAGTTATAGGTATGAGTGACTTGACTCATCTATTGGGTACTAGTGCCTTTGGGAGAGAGAAGGGGGAATATGGTAAACTCTTTAGCAAAGCCCTGTATTTAGAATGGTGTTGGTACTATGTAGCCCCTAGGCAGAAGAGGAATGCCTGAGGAAATGTTTCAAGGCCACTAGAAATAATTCTGCAATCTGTGTCATGGTGAGGAAAATCAGCTGGTGGCTGCAGGGTCACCCACAAGAGTCACAGATTTAGATAATCAGTAGAGCAGACAAAATCCACGATAGGGACTTTAGAACTAGGTAGCATGACAAGATCCAGAAGCATCCACGGATGACACCTCAAAAACATAGGACAGGACCAGACTAGTCAAACCTCAGAAGGCACTGGTGTAGGATATCCAAGATGAGAGAAGGAAGGGAAAATCCCAGCAAAAGACCGCACGTGGACCAAAGGTCTCTCTCTTTGCTACCATGCTGAGTGGGACCCCAATGTCAGTTACAGAGGAAAGAGAGTTAGGAGAGACTCTGTAGTGGTGGAGAAACAGTTGTGACTAATTTATATTGACTGATTTCCTCCCCTAAATATTTTAAAATCAAAACAACCTCAGTTATTATAATGACTTCCATTGGTCAATTTTGTTCATTTTTCTGGCTAGTAGAAGGAATTGGACTCCAGAGAATATGAGATCAAATAATAAATGCTTTTTATGATTTTTTTACAGCAGAAGGTACATTTCAATTTTATTTCTGTATTTCAAAAGTATGACAGGATTTTCTTTTTTTGTATTATACTTTAAGTTCTGGGATACACGTGTAGAACATGCAGGTTTGTTACATAGGTATACACGTGCCATGGTGGTTTGCTGTGCCCATCAACCAATCATCTACATTAGGTATTTCTCCAAATGCTATCCTTCCCCAGCCCCCTACCCCCAACAGGCCCTGGTATGTGATGTTCCTCTCCCTATGTCCATGTGTTCTCATTGTTCAACTCCCACTTATGAGTGAGAACATGTGGTGTTTGGTTTTCTGTTCCTGTGTTAGTTTGCTGACAATGATGGTTTCCAGCTTCATCCATATCCCTACAAAGGACATGATATCATCGTTTCTTATGGCTGCATAGTATTCCATGGTGTATATGTACCACATATGGGCATTTGGGTTGGTTCCAAGTCTTTGATATTGTGAATAGTGCTGCAATAAACACACGTGTGCATGTGTCTTTATAGTAGAATGATTTATAATCCTTTGGGTATATACCCAGTAATGGGACTGCTGGGTCAAATGGTATTTCTGGTTCTAGATCCTTGAGGAGCCACCACACTGTCTTCCACAGTGGTTGAACTAATTTACACTCCCACCAATAGTGTAAAAGCATTCCTATTTCTCCACATCCTCTCCAGCATCTGTTGTTTCCTGACTTTTTAATGATCGCCATTCTAACTTGCATGAGATGCTATCTCATTGTCGTTTTGATTTGCATTTCTCTAATGAGCAGTGACGATGACTTTTTTTCATACATTTGTTGGCCACATAAATGTCTTCTATTGAGAACTGTCTGTTCATATCTTTTGTCCACTTTTTGATGGGGTTGTTTTTTTCTTGTAAATTTGTTTAAGTTCCTTGTAGATTCTGGATGTCAACCCTTTGTCAGATGGATAGATTGCAAAAATTTTCTCCCATTCTGTAGGTTGCCTGTTCACTCTGATGATAGTTTCTTTTGCTGTGCAGAAGCCCTTTAGTTTAATTAGATTTCACTTGTCAATTTTGGCTTTTCTTGCCATTGCTTTTAGTGTTTTAGTCATGAATCTTTGTCCATGCCTATGACAGGATTTTCTAAAATGAAACTCCATTCTAAATTATGTCAGAGTTTGGCCACGGAAGATAATGGGGATACATAATCACCCTTCATCCATAAACAACCAGAAAGCTAGATAAAGTTGAGGAAATAACTGTTTTATGATACTTGATAGTAGGTAGCATGAGATGGTGATCCTTGAAGAAAGAGAAACAAATGAATTGAGCCGTATCTTTGCCCAGACTTTCTACCTGGAGTTAATTTCCATTGTAGCATGCACAGGAAGATAAATCCAAAGTTTGGCAATGTCAGTGAGTTGAGGAGAGAGAAATAGGCATCTGGGGAAGGTAAGGCAGTTAGGATTTGTGGAGCAGATTATCGAGAAGGAAGAAGTTACCCAGGAAAACTGTTCCAGGAAGCTTCATAAGAGTTCCATTGAGTCTTTGGTTGAATGTCAGTCTACAAAGACATTATTGGATGTGAGTAATTTCAGAGAGAGAAACAACTATGAAGGAGCTGTAAACTGAACAATCCCTGGAGCTTACAAAGGTCTGGGAATCATCTGAATTCCCACAAGCCAAAGTGAAGAG